TAAATCAATAAATAAATAAATAAATTAATCAGTAAATAAATAAATCAATAAATAAATAAATCACATATTTTTTATGTGTTCTCAGACTTAAAAGCCCACTGTCTGCAACTTAATGGATAAGTGTTTTGCAAGCATTAAATTAACTGAGGATGGTACTATAAGTGGACCATGTAAAAAAGCAATGTCCTTAAACCAGAGGGCCCACAAACAATGCCCAAACTAGGGCCCGCAGGCAAGTAGAATATGGTGGAGGGTTGGGGTTAATAGTTTTTTATACACACTGTCATTTTTAATTTAATGTAACTTTTCATTTGTTGCTTTTATTTTAAAAGAAAAAAAATAAATAAATAATTAAATGTTTAAACTAAATGTTGTAAATGAAGGTGGGTGCAACTTGACTAGTGTATTCAGCATTAAACTCCATAATGTTATAAATAGAAAATTTAATTCTCATGTTTTCATTATAATTAGTTAATTATAAATATATATATATATATATATATATATATATATATATATATATATATATATATATATATATATATATATATATATATATATATATATATATATATATATATATAATAGATTAGCTAATATGTTTAAAGTAATGTTTTCTACTTATTTTTAAACAAACAACGAAACAATTGATGGAAACCTTGTTTGGGTTTTTTAATAAACCTTGATATATAGGAAAGAGTTTGGGCACCACTGCCCTAAACTAAAATCAATTAGCTCCGAGAGCTGCATATTGACCAAATGCAATCTAAACCGGCATGACACATTAATAAGCGACAGTATTTCTAAGCTTGAAGTACACACACTGACATTCTCAAACATACTGAAGAAATAGTTTAAAAGGCGAAAAGTGATTCTCAAGGTTGATATAAAAAAGACTAACCTTCCCAACACCACTGTGAACTGGCCTTACCACGCTGTCAGAACAAATCCACATCACACGGTTACAACCTGACAGCATCCACCTTACCCACCCTATACATATAGTTCATGAGAGTTCTTACGTGTCAGAAGACATTTTTCACAATCTGTGCAGCAACTCATGAATAACCTTTTGCCCTTTTATGGATTTGTGCATGTGAGCGTAAGTTTGAACATGTACTTCAAAGAAACTGACATGAACATACGGTTTCTTAGCCATGTTAGTGAACACGTCACGTTGTCATCCTAAAAATTATTTAGAAGGTTGTGAAGCTTGAGTTGTGACAAATACTGCTTTACCTGTGGCACATCATGCATACTGCATACCGTACATGGTTTTGCTAGACCATGTACAGTATATCCATGTATATGTTGCAACCGTAATCTCTAACAAAGCCTCTTCTTAAAACTTAATAAAAGTCTCAGTCTGAAACCACAACAGAATGTGAATCACAGTGATAAACGTAGTTTTCTCCTATGGGAAATTCATGCTTTGCCTAATCATTTTAGAAGAGAGGGAAAAAAAGTGATGAGGTGTGTGTGAGTGTGTGTGTTTATGCATATATTTGGCTGATCTAATCCAATAGCCGAGCAGAGGTTTTTGGAAGCAGCTTCTCCCAAAAAAGTACGGAGCCAGAGCACTCCCTTGTGGTGCTACTAAGAACTCCAGCTAAAGTTCACAAAACTTTTTTTTTTTAACAGCAATGGCCTGAATCTGCACTAGTGAACACAAGGAGTTGCTCTGTTCAGAACACTATGTATTAATTGCTGTTTTTCCCTTGTTCTTGTGTTTTAATCGGTAACACAACGCTGCATTTTCATTCTCACACTAGACAAAAATGAATGTAAATAGTATCGTCATTTAAAATGTAGTAAATGGTTCAACATTTCTTTGTCTCCTATGGACATCTTGTAAAAGCTCCTGTTTACTACATTTAAAAAAAAAAATTTGAGCCAAATTTCCTATGAACAATCAATCCTATGGTGTTTCAAGCAAAGTTCAATATATTACAGCTCTTCATATATATATAAATCATTATATCATTAATAAATACATCAGAACTAATCTTAAAATGGCTATGGACCCTTTTCACAAGCCTGTTAAAATGCTTTTAATGGTCATCAGCACCTTAAATCCTTGAAAGTTTTTAAAATTGTATGAACATTTATAGGGCGACATGGTGGCAAAGGGAGTAGCACAGTCGCCTCACAGCAAGAAGGTTGCTGGTTTGAGCCCTGGCTAGGTTAGTTGACATTTCTGTGTGGCGTTTGCATGTTCTCCTCATGTTCGCGTAGGTTTCCTCCGGGTGCTCCGGTTTTCCCCATAGTCCAAAGATATGCTGTACAGGTGTATCTGAGTGTGAATGGGTGTTTTCCAGAGATGGGTTTCAGCTGGAAGGCTATCAGTTGTGTAAAGAATATGCTAGATACGTTGGTGGTTCATTCCGCTGAGGCGACCCCTGATGAAAAAAGAGGCTAAGCTGAAGGAGAATGAATGAATGAACATTTATATGTATTTATGTATGTATGTTTTATATCATCTTTGCTTCAAATTACAAAAAAATAAATAAATAAAAATAATTACCGCCTCTGCGAGGCGTTTCTAATGCAGTGTCTATGGGACAGGACAGTAAATTTGACTTTATTCTCTTCTCTGGATGCCGTCATCAGTGTCACACAATTATTTTCCTTTTCTATATGTCTCTAAAACATCATCGTGGAGTTTTTCTTTTATTATTTGAGCAAATAAGATTGTAAAAAAAAAAATGTGTTGCTCTCTCCCATTCACTGGGCTCTAAGTTTTTCTAACCATGACAACTTCTGCTACTGAGAAACCGGGAAATGTGAAAAGGGTCTATTTTAGTAATTTGTTTCATCCACATAGGCAATTCCACACACACACACACACACACGCACGGACGCACACACACACACACACACACACACACACACACACACACACACACACACACACACACACACACACACACACACACATACACATACACACACACACACACAAATAATAATTGTTAAAGGAAGACGCAATTTGTTGTAGATGTTGACATAAACCTGTAAGTTTTTGTCTCAGAATTTTTCACATATTTAATTTTATTGGAACTACTATAAAATATAAAAGTTTTGTTGTCTTTTGATGTGACACCACTATTCATTGAACTTGTCCAACACATTATAATATAAAACTGTCCAACATGAAGATGAATCACCAGTGTGGGCAGACGAGGTGGGAGATGTTAGAGATGGGGTGGATTATTATGGTTGTTATTAGATTTGTGGTGCCAGGTGGGATTTTAGCCTGCAAAAAAATTTTGTGGGAAAACTGTGGACTTGGCAGCACTGAAAGTGATGGACATTTATTCATGGATCAATAAATACAAAAACAAATGAGTAAAGCGATAAGAATAAAAAAAAAAAATATATATATATATATAGAATTATTTATAGTATTTAAAGAATTATGGCGATGCAGTGGTGAAGTAGGTATTGCTGTCGCCTCACAGCATGAAGGTCGCTGGGTCGAGCCTCGACTCAGTTGCCATTTCTGTGTGGAGTTTGCATGTTCTCCCTGTGTTCGCGTGGGTTTTCTCCGGGTGCTCCGGTTTCCCCCACAGTCGAAAAGACATGCGGTACAGGTGAATTGGGTAGGCTAAATATGTATGAGTGTGTGTGTGTGAATGAGTGTGTATGGATGTTTCCCAGAGATGGGTTGCGGTTGGAAGGGCATCCACTGCGTAAAAATGTGATGGATAAGTTGGTGGTTCATTCCGCTGTGACCCCAGATTAATAAAGGGACTAAGCCGAAAAAAAAATTAATGAATGAATGAATTTATAGATTTATGCCAAGAATTGAGTACACGCTGGGATCCACACTATCAACTTATGTTGGAACAACAAGAATAAATTAAGTCAACTTAATAGTTTTTACATGTTTAGGGGGATTGAATATAAAACAATTAAGTTGTCCCAAAAAAAAAAACCTCAAGATAGATTTTTATTCAAAGATGATTCCTTGGAAGTTAAGTGGTTGTAAACAATTTTTGGGCTGAATTTAAACAAACAAAATTAAGTTAAACATTTCTAAATTTAATTTGTTTGTTTAAATTCAGCCCATATAAATAGTTAGCAACAATTTTGATGAAATAATTCTATTCAGTATCAGCTTGTTTTAAATAGGTAGTTTCATTTTTAGCAAACTTCCTTTCCTTTCTTTAAAACTTTGTTTTAATTATTACAAATCGTCACCTTGGAATTATAAGGTTCTATCTGCACTCTGAATGATTTTGAGATATTGAGCTTCAAAGTTTTTGCATTCCATATACTGTAGCAATCAGTATGTGTGTAACATTTTTTTTTTTTTTAATAAAAAGTCTTAAAATGTAGACAACTTATAAAAAAAGTCCCATAATGTAAATAAGTTGTCATTTAATAAAAATATGTCAATAACTCAATTTTGACAACAATGGCAGTTAGAACCTTATAATTTCAAGGTGACAAAATATAAATAAAAGCTTTAACATATAAAGTGTTTAAATGACTAAGCTTGCACATATTTCCCTGTTTTAGCTGTTTGTGAATTCATCAGATCTACTTTCATTAATACAGCCTTCTATACTCTTTGATCTTTATCAGCAGCTTTACTTTGTTTGTCAATAGGTTTACGTTCATATGTCCCATAGCGATATCTCTTCATCTTCGACTGAAGGGTAAATTTGCGCCAGCTCTCTACATATTTCATGTCATCAGGTGTATGGTACATGTGTCACATCATGCGCTTCACAGAGTTAATTATCCTGAGTGTTGTGAAACTGCTGAACAAGATTCTGGTTTTGCAAGAGGCCACACTTATAAACACACCGTAAGACTCACACAACCTTTTGTTAACCAATCAATTCAGGCCCAGTTTTGAAATACAATTGTTGTCAATAACTAGATGAATATTATAGGTGGAATATAACATTTAGTAAATATTCAGAAATTTGCATTAATAACTTACAGAATAATCAACTTATGAAAGAACAAAAAAGCATGTCTTTACTGACCTGTTTCCAAAGCCTGAAGTAATTCTGGAGGTCCAGTGGAGGCCTGGCCAGATCGGTACAGTGGCTCATTCTCCCAGTCTTGAGCACAGAACAGAGGTCAAATGTCAGGTTTATAATTTGATGTGTTATCATGAAACATTGCAGTAAATTGAACAGATGGAGAAACTAGGTACATGTCATCCACCTTTAATAACAACTCTGGCAGTAAATGGTAAGAGCATTAAACTGTGTTGTAAAAATACAATATGATTCATACAAGAGTTTATTATTGTTCTCTAATCTAATTGGCTGAGAGGTTTTTCTCGCCACGTAATATTCTACCAGTATCACTATGGCAACTGATTAACTCACTCTGGCTTTCTGAAGTCTTCACGTTGTGTCATGGCAAAGGACTAAATCACTATAGTTTGGTAAACAATGTTGTTTTTGTGTCACATAATGTATTTTTAAAAGACTTTAAAGTAAGAATATAGTTGTTTAGACCCCATACAAGTTGTTAATACATAAGAATATCATCTTATTTGGAAGTCATCCATGATACCAAAGAGAGCAGCTTCACCACAGACACTTTTTTTATCAAAAAGGATCAAAACTAGTATTGTCGTAAAAAAAAAAAAATACTCTTATAAGTTGAAACTATTCATTGTTTTCCTTAGCAGAAATTCAAACTAAGGCTTCATTAAGGTGAGACTGGTTCGAGGATAAGACTTAAAGAATAAACACAGAGATGAAGGTAAATTGCACTCTTCCAGTTTATGTTTTCTTTCTCTAATTGTTGATTTCCTGGATGGGGTAATTTAAAAAGAACTAATTGATTTTCTGAGTTTGTTTTCCTCCATTCAGTGTTATAATCCTAAAAAAAATGTCCCAGCGAGCAAAATTCTCTGATTTGTCATTACTAATACATTGCAACTCTACATAAGGGATTCGCAACCGGTGGGCTGTGAGAAATTAAAATTAAGTCTCAATATTATACTACAATTTTTGGATTTCATTATAATATGTTACGATATTAAAATTATCGAAGTAATGCACTTTTTCCTGTTCTCTCATTAATTAATTAAAACTCAGCGCAAAAACAGTCTCATGATTGCATCTGCACAGGGGCGGACTGGCCAGCTGGCAATTCTGTCAAATGCCAGAAGGGCCGGACCATTTTTTAAATGTGGGCCGGTCAGCTATTTTTTTTTTTTTTTTCATATGTATTGTTTTTTACATGTAAGCAGCTTTTATCTCTTGCAAGATGTGAATATTATGATGATGATGATGATGATGATAATAGTAAGAATCTTAATCAATGTTAAGCATTCGTCCAATCATCAACGACCGGCTGGTTTCGAGATGGGCCGACCCAATCAGAGGTTATGCAGACGTAATCAAAATCTGGCAAGGATGTCAAACACACAGTAAGTGCAACAAATTGATAGAGATGGACCATAAAAAGGGAAAGGCAGTCAAGTCAGACAATGCCAAATACATCAAATTAACTGCACTAGTCTCGAAAGGGGACAGTGCAGTGGCTCAGTGGGTAGCACTGTCGCCTCACAGCAATAAGGTTCCCTCAGCTGGGTCAGTTGGTGTTTCTGTGTGGAGTTTGCCTGTTCGCGTGGGTTTCCTTCTGGTTTCCTTCACAAGTCCAAACACATGCTATAGGTGAATTGGGTAGGCCGATTGGGAATTGGATAACCCAGTAATGGGTTGCAGGTTTGAAGGCATACGCTGTGTAAAACATATGCTGGATAAGTTGGTTAAAGGGACTAAGCCGAAAAAAAAAAATGAATGACATGATTGCATATATAAATGGGTTGTTTTTGTTTTAGTCACATACATTAAATGGTAAAATATCTCTTAAATATGTTACTGCTTATATAATTTTACCATCTGTACACCAATATAAGTAGTGAATGTGTGTGTCCGTGGGTGGGGCTGTGTCGGTGTGGTAACGTGGGCTGGTGTGGCTACAGAGCAAGGGCTGATTTTTAGTCTCAGTTCGCCCCTGCGTCTGCAACTAGTACATGTCTGTTCATTCACACAGTGCGTCAAGTGAAAGTATCTATTTAATAGCCACAGTTTTCCAAATTAATATCCTGTTAGTGTTTTATTATAACGGACGCACGCCCATGCAGGAGGATCTAGCGAAGCTCAATGGTGTTTCTGCCATAGAATGTAAAATAACCTTCCATATGAGCTACAGAAACGCTGGTGGAGTTGTTCACTGTTCCTGTCAGCGATCTCTTAATAATATTTAGCTGCAAACTCAATCGCCATCAGATTAGAAACTTAATAGTAGATATTCAAACAGTCTAGTTTAAAGCCGAAGTCTTTTGCAAACTCCCTGTTGACCTGTGGTGCTCTTTGAATCTGTTTGTTTAAAAATATATATATAATTATAAAATTATATATATATATATATATATATATATATATATATATATATATATATATATATATATATATATATATATATATATATATATAATAAAATTTAAATAAAATGTATAATTAAATTAATTTATTTATAATAGAAGTATACACACACACACACACACATATATATATATATATATATATATATATATACATACATACATACATACATACATACATACATACATACATACATACATACATACATACATACATACATATATATATATATATATATATATATATATATATATATATATATATATATATATATATATATATATATATATATATATATATATATTGAGAACCCCTGCTCTACATAATGCATTAAAGAAACTCAAAACTACGTAGCTACTAGTTTTTTTTTTGTTTTGTTTTTTTGATTATACGCACAGACTTTTGCTCAGCTGTCAGAATATCAACTTGAGATTTAAATCCAAGGAGAAGAAGGTATTTCTACACTTAAAACGATTCTCAAGAAACATTTTAGTTGGTATTTACACACTTGTGCCATCTAACCGTTGTAAAAACACAATATCGCATACATATTCATGCAATGTAGCTTTACTGTATATAAAAACAGCTGTACATGCTACATTTGCTGATATAAGAGACATATACTATTGTAAGTGATTAAAGAGATAGTTTACCCAAAAATGTAAATTCACCCACTATCTATACACCCTCAAGTAGTGCTAAATCTTTATTAGTTTTTTATTCTGCTGAACACAAAAGAGGATATTTTGAATAAAGTTGAAAACCTGTAACCATTGACTTTCATAGTACTGTAGCTAAGCCAAATATAATGGGAATCAATAATTAAGTGTATGGATGAATAAATGATACAATGAATTTTCATTTTAGGGTAAACAATGCCTTTAAGAGTTGCTTTTATACTTGTAAATAACATGCACTACTATACTTGGAAATTCTATATATATAGTAAACTACATACAGTTGAAGCCAAAATTATTAGCCCCCCTGATTTACTTTTTTTCCTCTTTTTTTCTGTTTAACAGGAAGTTTTTTTCAACACATCTAATAAGTCTGACTTCAACTGTATATTTAGTTTGTCTTTAAAGCAAAATTTAAACAAATCCCATCTCTACAGTTACGAGAAGCTGTCAATTGCATCATTAGAGACCCACTTAAGTGCACAACTAGTGTTTGACTCTCTTTGAGTAGTTCAATTGGGTGAGGTAGAGGAGCAAACTCACCTAGTCTCTCCAGAGCCTCCGTCAGCCGAAGCACCACAACTGGGGACGGGTCAGGCAGAGCACACTGCTCCACAACATCTGCCTTTCCACAGGGGCCTGTCAGAGAACAGAGAGACCATGATGAGAAATCCCACCAGTGAGACCAAATTCCCTGATTAGGTGACTGACTGTAAACCCACATCTCATCACTCCTTGGGGAACAGTCAGGTTGTCATATTCACACGCAGCATGGTAGATATGCCGCATAAAAGTCCAGTCTCAGTCTCACAACAATGGAGTTATTGTTTCAGATAGTATTTGAAACATAAAACTAAAACCACGCTTGTTAACCGAGAAAAGAATATTTATTCCTCACTTTATTTAGCTGAATCTGAAAATGCAATGACTAAAATGAAAAAAAAAGCAAACAACCAAATAATTAGTGGTTGTTAGAGAGTTTAGGTGGTTACTAAGGTGTTGCTAGGTTGTTGCTAAGGTGTTCTGAATGGTTGCTAGGTGCTTGCTAAGGCTTTACTAGGTGGTTGCTAAGGTGTCCTACTCATTGCTAGGTGGTTGCTAAGGCGTTGCTATGTGGTTGCCTAGTTGTTCTATGTGGTTGCTAAGGTGTTGCTAGAAGGTTGCTGGGTGGTTGCTAAGGTGTTGCTTGGTGGTTGCTAAAGTGTTGCTAAGGTCTTGCTAGGTGGTAGTTAAGGTGTTGTTAGGCGGTTGCTAAGGTATTCTGATTGGTTGATAGGGTGTTCTAGGTGGTTGCTAAGGTGTTGCTAAGTGGTTGCTAGAGTGTTCTAGGTGGTTATTGTTAGGTGGTAGGTAAGAGGTTGCTAGGTGGTTGCTAAGGTGTTCTAGATCATTTGCTAAGTGGTTGCTAAGGCTCTGCTAGATGGTTGCCTGGTTGTTATATGTGGTTGCTAAGGGGTTACTTGATGGTTGCCAAGGTGTTCTGAGAGGTTGCTAAGGTGTTGCTAGGTGATTGCTAAGGTGTTGCTAGCTGGTTGCTAAAGTGTTGCTAGGTGGTTGCTAAGTTGTTGCTAGGCAGTTGCTAAGGTGTTGCCAGGATGTTGCCAATGTGTTCTGAGTGGTTGCTAGACAGTTGCTAACATAAATTAACATGGTTCTAGTATGAATTAGCATGTTGCTAGTACGATTAGTATGTTTGTTAGTAAGTTTTTAGCATAAATTGGTATATTGTTACTATTTTTCTAGTATTATTAGTATGTTAGCATGTTTGTTGGTATGTTTTTAGTATGAATTAGTATGTTGTTAGTATGTCCAATGAAAAGTCAATGGCAGTTTTTTTTTTTTTTTTTACATCGGAAGTCTATGTGACAGTTGCTAATGTGCCGTAAATGGTTGCTAGGGTGTGGCTAGTAAGTTGAAAGGTCATCAGTGATTGGCATTGATAGTCTGAGTTAAATTTGTGTAACCATAATTCTGTCATAACTGTATAACAAGTTGTCATAACTTAAGGCAAGTTATGAGGTCAAAACAATTTTTGTCCAATGTTAAGTCATGGGACTTTTCCAAATTTTCCAGGTCAGTTTTCGGAAAACCGTAAGTCGGATCCGTTGGAAAAGATATAGCAACCCAAGTCAGAGCAGTTTGGAGGTTTAGAGTTAGTTTGGTGGTTGTAGTATGAACGGTCTAGGAGAAGATGGATATAGAAATGAGTCTCAGAAGGAAATGGAAGTGTAAAAAAAAAAGTAGTATAATAGTATGTTGGCCTTTTTAAGCCACCATTTTTAGAGAAAAAAAAACAAAACAAAACAATATAATACAACTTTGGGACAAGGATAAAAATTTAAATCCATGACAACCTATTAATTAATGTAGTTACTTAATGACACTTAAAAGATTCTCACTGCATCAATCAAAACTATTTATTATTTTCTCAAATGTTTAAATATTGTGTTATGAGCTAACACTGATATCATTTATTAATATTGATTATAAATATCTAATGAATTCATATACTTAAGCATTTTAATGTCTAAATTAATATTCATTTATTACAAACAAACACCAATGATTGACAGTGTATTTGTGACATTTATTTATAAATGCTGTAAATATAATGATTTGTTCACATTGCCTAGTGCATTTTTTTTCTAGCTCACAAAAAAGAAAACCCATATGTTTGGAAAAACTGATATGAATGACAGATATTCCTTTAAAAACCGCACGAAATAAACATTTTGCCCACATTTGTTTTGTTTATTTGTTTTAAATTCAGTATATAGCATGTCCTCCAGGTTTGTCCTCTAGCAGAATAAAATACAATGCATAATGTATCATAATGCACCACTGTCTCTGTCAATCTCCATTGTCCTTCAACTCAACAGTGACATTTTACTGAGGTTACAGTTGGAAAGTGTGCCCATATATACTCATATGTATCAGACTCCAATGGATAAAATCCTTTAGGGGGTTGATTTTAATGTAAATGTAAGAATGCTTCAGTACTGTATGTTTATACATATTAGAGACTGCATTAATCAAATAAAACTTTCAGCTAGGCCTAACCTGTTCATAAAATTAAGAGGATAAAAAAAATGGTGTGAATAACTTTGCTAACTCTAGCATGATGGAGTGTCCGTTTCCAATATGCAGGTAAAGTCTAAAGGTCACTTTGCAGTATAATACATGACCCTCATAAATTTATGGAAATTACATAAACATGAATTCATCTTGTACCCAAGTATTCATAATATACTGTATAAGGTCCAATGATTTCCATGATGTACAAAACACAAGCAAATGCAGAATCCAGATAATAGATAATTAGCAGTATAATGTTGAGCCTCACAAAACTTGTTAAATACTGGATTAATTAATCAAAAGTTGTGCTCTAAACTAGATCAAATCACAGTGTGTATTTAGTATGTATTGTCTATGAGTACAAAAAATACTAATAAACTCAATTTACCAAAGACTTTACATTGAATTTAATTATTAAACAAATAATTTTTACCTTCATACGTCAAGGTTTGAACTATAAACATACTAAAAATATTTTAAACTATTTATGGTTAATTGTTAAATATTTCAAGGGACTGAAATCAAAGCACACATTATTTAAATTAAAATTATTATTATTTAATTATATATATAAAAGTAATCAGCATGATGGTAAAAAATATGTACATTTCTAGTCAAACCATTCGTCTGCAGTCTCATACCAAAAACGGAAATAAGGGCAGTATTAATAGCTATAATTGCGGGAGAGCGTTGATATTATGTGATTGTACTGTATTGCAATATGGAACAATTAAATGTTGATGGTAAATCAAAAGTAATTCACAAATACTTGAAAATGAGATGATTTAATGACAATAAATCTCTCTGGTTACAACTGAATTAATAACAAAATACTGTATAAAATGATAAAATATGAAATGATAAAACATATGGTATAAATTGTACCCAGCTTAAATGTAAAATTAAAGTTACCAGAGGTAGAAAGAGAGACACGGAGGGAGGGAGAGACAAAGAGAGAAGGCCCAAAGCCTGATTGCAGTAGAGTCAGAGAAGATAGACTCCAGAGAAGGAGAGGAGCAGAGCAGGAGAGAGGGCAGGAAAAGGGGCAGAGCTCGAGTTTACCACCTATCTTGTATCTTTCTTGACCATGTGACTAAAGCCATTCAAGACATTCAAACTGACCAATCAACATGTGACCACACCATAAACCCCCAAAGTCCACACAACAGGCCCTGATCTTATCAGTATCTGCTTTTGTAGTCAGTATGGACCTTCTTGAGTCAAAAAGCATGTTTTGTCATATAAACAAATGCATATGATAATTTAGCCTCTTACATGTGTGTGTGTGTGTGTGTATGTGTGTGTGTGTGTGTGTGTTGATATATAGATATACATCAACAAATTTCTAAACATAATAACTCATTTCTAATAACTGATTTCTTTTATCTTTACCATGATGACAGTAAAAAATATTTTACTAAATATTTTTAGGACAGTTTTATACACCTTAAAGTGATATTTAAAGGCTTAACTAGGTTAATTAAATTAACTAGGCAGGTTATGGTAATTAGGCAAGTTACTGTATATCAGTGGTTTGTTCTGTAGACTATCGAAAAAAAATACCTTAATCATTTATAATTTAAAAATAGCTAATAATTTTAACCTTAAAATGTTTTTTTTTTAATTACAAACTGCTTTTATTCTAGCTGAAATAAAACAAATAAGACTTCTCCAGAAGAAAAAAAATATTATCAGACACACTGTGAAAATGTCCTTGCTCTGTTAAACATCATTAGGGAAATATTTGAAAAATTAAAAAAATAAAAAATCTAAGGGGAGCTAATAATTCTGACATCAACTGTAAAAAAAAAAAAAAAAAAAACTAATCTCTTTAAAGCTACTACTAATACTCTGGCAGGCTTCTGCATATTATTTACATTGTCCATCTTCACTTCAAAATAATTGTTGAAGTCTAAATGAGAAAAAAAACACAACTGAAAATCTTTCATCACTGTAACCAAGATGACCACCCGTTTGTACAAGGAGTGTGTGCCGGTCACGTTGAAAGTTGAATCTAGCTGGTAAATATTTATTTGCATAATTGTATTGCTCCTGCTGCAGGCATGGTACTACAGAAAAGTTCGTTGATTAGTATGCTGGAATAAATTGTAGTTCCTAGTCATACTGGCCTACAAAATAGCAGCTTTTCATTTTTCGTCCTTTTCAGTACACAGTGTAACTACAGAAGGTCACGTTGTAAGTTACCTAAGTGGGAAACATTTTCAAGCGTTGCATGCTTTCACTGCGGCTGCTGCAGCCATGGTACAGCAGCAATGTTCCTTGATTATTACGCCAAAATAAAAGCATAGTTCCTAGTCATATTGGCCAACAAAATAGCAACTTTTCATTTTCTGTCCTATAAGTACATAATGTAACTACAGAGGTCAAGCTTTAAATAAATTTAAAAAAGTGAAACTCTTGTCATTTTTGCGTGAGATGCTAATGGTCTAATCTGATTCAATGATCTATGCTAAGCTAGGCTAAAAGTGCTCCCACCAATCGAATGAATGGATTGAAAATGTGGTAAAACTTGACTGTTTAACTTTACAGGGAGTTGTAAAATG